GGTTATCAGATAGTAATTATTATATATAGTAATTAATGAATTAAGATTTCTTAGTTACCGGATCGAAGAAATTAGTGACAATAAATGCGATATCAGCACCATTAAGCACGTTCTTGACATCTTCTCTATTAGAAAGGTCGGCTTTGATAGCTTCAACTCCCTTTGCAACAAGGGCTTTTGCTTTATCAGATTCAGGGTTACGTGTAAGAGCACGGACTCTATATTTTCTTGTTGCAAGGAGAGCATTGACGACAGATCCTCCTGTGTATATGCGATTCAAAAAATATTATTCAAATGTTGACAAATTTTGGCGAACACGGGTAAATAATACCTTGTGCACCTAAAATATGTAAAAAAAAAAAAAAAAAAAAAAAGTCAATATAATGTCAAAAATGATAAATTATCGTTTATTAAAATGAGTAGCACTACTAACGACTACCAAAGGTTTTTGTGATGACATCTTGGAATTTTTTTGTTTTTTTTTTAGCACGAAGAGGTTTTAACAGCTAATTAATTATATAAAAAAACTGAAAAAGAGATTTCGAAGCTTCGCGCTCTTTTATATCATGATATTTGGCATAAATTTGTCTTCATTATACCAAGGATTATACATAATTGATTTATTTCGCGAAGATCTCAGCTCTGGTTTCACCTAATAATCATGTATATTGTCTTCATTATACCAAGGATTATACATAATTGATTAATAATCATGTGTATTGTCTTCATTATACTAAGGATTATACATAATCGATTAATAATCATGTGTATTGTCTTCATTGTACACTCCCCTGACAGTGATCACTGGAATTTTCAAAATTATATACGATCGACAGTTATGACTCACGTCATACAATAATTTTTTTGGACAAATCTCTTGCTATAAATATACAAAATTTTTTTTTACAGTTGTGCCAGAAGCTGGTCTATTTGACCTTTTTTTTTAAATTTTTTTTTTTTTTATTATGAAAGAAAGGAAGCAACTTAATGAAAAACAATGTGCCCAAATTGTTGGCACTTGGTGAAGTGGTGTGAGACCAGCAAAGATTGCACGAACCTTAAACTTACCGAAGAGCACCGTCAATGATGTTGTTTCTTATTACAAAAAAAAGGGAAGATAAATCCAATTTCTCAGCCTGAGGCAGCCCCTAAAATAACTGAACATGGTTCCCACCACCTTATACACATTTTGAAAGGTGATAAAAAAGTTAGTTTGAATGTTTTGACAAATAAATTTGTCGAATCAATGTCCATCGAGGTGTCTATACATACCATACAATGTCACCTTCATGAAGAAGAGTTTTATGGCTGGGTTGGAAAGAGAAAACCATTTGTGGATGAAGCCTTTTGCTTGTATTGTTTAGGATGGGCTAAAAATCGAGAACGTTGGAATAAAAGGTAGAGAAATGTTGTTTGGAGTGACGAATCATGGTTTGAAGTGTTTGGAGTAATGGTCGTATGTATGTTTGGAGGAAACCAAAGGAAAAATACAATATTGAATGTTTAGTTTCTACGTTTAGGTCGGGAAGAAAGGGTGTAATGGTTTAGGAATGCTTTAGTTACTACGGTTCTGGACCTTTAGTTCAGGTTTTTGGCAGAATGAATTCGAAGGACTATACTAAGATTCTTTGTGATTGTTTGTTACCTTTTTTAGAAGGTTTAGAAAACATTGTTGGAGAAAAAAACTATCTATTCCAAGATGACAATGCGAAAATTCATACTTCAACTTTCACCACAGATTGGTTCAAAGAAATGAGATTGATCAACTTTCCTGGCCATTGTACAGCCCTGACCTCAATCCCATTGAACATCTTTGGAACAAATTGAAGTGTAGGGTTTGTAAGCATATTCCTCTGCCAAGCAATGAGTTAAAACTATTAAATTTGCTGCAGGAGGAATGATTTAATATTGATGGTTTAATTTTTAAAACTCTTGTTGAAAGTATGCCTCGTTATATTAGTGCCGTAATTAATTCTAACGGATACTCTATGCAGTATTAATACTTGTAAATAAAAATTTTTTATTTTTATTATTAAATAAAAAAAATTTGACTCAAATTATTAAATGGGTTGTCAAGAAATTGCAGTCATAAAAACTTATAAAAAAAGTGATTGACATTTTGTAATTATAAAATTCTGGTGAACACTGTCAGGAGAGTGCACCAAGGATTATACATAATTGGTTAATAATCATGTGTATTAAGAATACTTTTTTAATACATAAATTCTGAATACCAGTATATACATACGTACATATTAATAATACATGAATTCTGAATTTGGAATAAAATTTTGCATTTGTTATTAATAATACATGAATTCTGGATTGGGAATAGAATTTTTGCATTTATTATGAATGCTACATAAATTCTGAATTTGGAATAAAGATTAGTGATTGTATAGGTGTGCAGCAGGGATCCAGAAAAATATCGACTTGTTTTAAGCAAAAATATCTATCGATATGCGTAGTCACTCATATTGCTCTTTCTGAGATAATATAACCATCTTCTTTGCTTTACTAAAGCAAGTTGTTTTTATAAACTTTATGTATCTCTGTAAAGTTATATAAATATTATATAAAATTTAATATACTGTCGGCCCTCCCAAAACTGATCCTGTCAAAACCGATAGCCTGCCATAAACGATCAAAATTTGTTCCACCATGTCGGTTCCATAAGTAATATCCGATAACCTGTCATTTTTGATATCCGATAGCCAATTTATTTAAGTTTCCGATATGACTAAATTATTCTTTAAACAAATGCTAAAAATTGCAAGATTGTCGAAATGTTATCACACGATGGACGATCATTCGCAGAGAATGTATGGAGTAGAGATGGGCAAATCGCGGTTTTTCCAAAAATCCCGCGCGTGATGCGCATGGGATTCATTAAACCTACGTAGGTGCCGCTGTTGATCCTCGATTTTGATTGGCCAGCGGCTGTGATCGACAAAATCCTGGCCCGCATTATACATAATTTTGGCCGGAATTTAATTTTTAATTTTTTTAATTGCAAAAATAGAAAAAAAATTTAAAGATTGGGCCTGTGCAATGGTAATATTAGCCCAGAAACATAATTCGCTTAATGAACGGCCACAATTTCATTAGTAACAATTCGAGTAATTTGCCTAATTTTTTGATTGTTGCCATCGGACGACCATAAATATGAAAGAATTATATAATCTCATATACGTAAAGAATAGATAGACATGTAAAGTAGGGTAAAGGCAGTATTTATTATTAATAAGCTCAGACCTTATTTATACAATAGACAATCTATAAACCGACACTTATTACGATTGACAATCCAAACACATTTGAAAGAACCGATCCAATTTTTGTAAAATGGTTCCAAATATCATGATTACTGCCATGTTATATTTATTTTTAAAAGAGTGACTTAATGATATTTATATTTAATTATTATAACAAAGAAACTTTTTGGTAGGCAAAAGATACCAACGGTAAAAAGGTAAATTCTTATTAAATATATATATACATATGCGAAACGGTATGCAAATAAATAAATTCTACATAGAAATTCACGTATCCATATAAAAATATATTAAGTATGTTATACAGTATATATGTGAAACATTGTCGACCGGGGTAAAATCACCACCCGACAAATATGTAGAACACCAAAAATTCATGTAACAAACAAAAAACTACTAACAAAATGATAAACTCAATAAATGTAATATTTATTACAGTCAGAAAGTATTATGATTATGGTTTTTCTAAGCATTTGGAATATTCCATGTCTTTTAAAATGATTATAATCCTCCTCCAATTTATGCAATGGCTCAAAGTTTTATTGATACTATCGAGCCATTTGTTACTATTTGGCTCATTATATTTTTTTTCAATAATTTTTCTGGATTAAGAATTATAAAAACTTTTTGCCCAAATATATTGAATTTTATGCCTTTAAAAGAATCACTTTTGTCAGTTTGCAGCGATCGCTTTTCATTTTGAAGAATCGAAGAAAATAAATCACTTACTAAAACAATTAATATTTTATAAATATTATTACGCATCATGAGATGAATTGACAATGTTACATGATTTTTGAAACTTTTTTGGGTGGCTCAATTACTAATTATGTTAATGCGGGCAAGATATTAAGTTAATGCTGCCAGATTATATGCTAATGCCGGCCAGATAATTTTATTTTGGGGTCATATTAAAAATCCCGCGCGTGCCCATCTCTACTCTAAATTCTTTAGATCTTCAAATACTCGGTTTTGAGGGATGCTGAAGCTCTTTGTAAAAACACCATTATGGCTTCATTAAATCTTGGTAATAATGCTCTTTGAATCTTTACAACAATTGCCTTTGTTCTAAAGGAGAGATGGCATTAACTGCAAAAACACCACTGTGACTTCATTAAATCTTGGTATAATACTCTTAGTTATGAAATGGAAGAAGATTAGCAAAAATGCTTTGTACAAATACAACTCTGACTTCTTTGAAGCTTTACAATAATTGCCTTGGCTTTAAAGGGGTGACAGCATTAGTAAGATTCTTCATAAAAACACTACTATTACTTCAAAAATCTTGGCTATAATTCTCTTAGTTTTGGGGTAAACACAGACACTTGTATAAACACTACTCTGACTTTTTAGATCTTCATCATAATTTCCTTGGTCCCATATGAGTAAATGCATTAGCAAAAGATCTCTGCAAAAATATGTAATATTTCATGACATAATTGACATACCAAAGAAATCCAACGTAAAATATTACTCTAAGTTCATTATATATTTAAAAGAATTATATTTGTTTCAAACATTAGACATTATCATAAAAATTACTTGAATTTAATATTTAGGCTTATTCAACTCTTACTAATATATAAATAGTTGCGTGTCATAGTTGAGCTAAACCGAGAAACAAAATATATATACATCGCAATTGAGAAAAGCGATAAATTAATTCAATTTTTAAATTATTTAGACTTAAAATATAATAAAATGCTGATTGTTAGTTTATATCGTTAAATTAATTTTGTAGCTTTTTTTAAAGTTTAATTTTTATGACCGATCAGTATGTTTGCTTTCTTAATTCATTGAATTAAAGCGAGTAAAATAATGTCACTTTGTAATGTTTAATATTCTCCATATTCACATGTGAAATTAACTTAGAGTTGCACTCAACAAAATTAAGAAAAATTGTTTCGTCTATGAAGCATCCTTTCATTCTTTAGCAACAAAAAAAATCCTCTCATAGTTTGGTATACAGCCCTTATTTCAACCCTTCTCTAACCCTAACCTAAGATTAGCTTGATGCAGGCCGACGATCAATCCAGGCCAAAATTTGCAGATTTCTTATGTGCCATGGAATTACAAGTGTAAATATTCAAGACTTGAATAGTTATTTGAAATACTTTGAATGACATATTCTTTATACAGTATTGAATCGATTTTTATACTGGTTCGAAACTTAGATAAATTAAAAATAGCATTGAGTAGTAAAAGTTTTTTTTTTACCTAAAACTAGTTGATAAAGTTTTTGTATTCAATTGGGTATTACCAAAACTGGTTAAATTTATTCCGAAGACAAATTTAAATTTTTTATAATAAATCATGTTTTGGGTTCTTTTTACTACAAGACCTCATTTTACAGTATACAGTATGTCGTTTTTTAATTATATCTTTTCATTTAGTTAATATATTATACTTATAATGGGTTTCTGAATTATCCGACTTTGAATAAACTAGATGATCTATTTATTTCAAAATAATTGGTATATATATACTGCTATTTTGACGGGTGCCCTAATTTCTCCCACAACTTCACTATCGTAGAACTATAAAATTGATTAGGCCAGACCAATTAAATTCTGTGTTTTACATTACCCCCCAGAATCTCTTCCCCTCTCATAGTAATAAAAAAAAAATCCGTATATATAACACAATAAACCCCCAGGAGGTAGAGGAGTTAATGTAAAACACAGAATTAAATTTATATATATTTTTTGATACTGATATCACGTGCAAATCACCAGGCAAACTAACAAAAATGAATATTATAATTTTTCTTAAAGAACGGCCCACATAGGTTTGATAAATAACTTGTTTGCATGTTCCACGACTAAAATTTATTGTTTTTTAAGAATTTTGGCACGCTTTATTATATCTTTAACATGTTTTAAACTTCTTAGTTTCGGCCTGGTTGCGCAAGTTTCTAACAAAAGATTATATATATTTTTTTAAAACGATATTTATATGATGAGTTTTTCCTTACAAAATTTTATTTTACATTAAAGAAAACTCTATCCGCGTAATAAAGGTTTGAAATATATCATTAAGTGTTTGCGCTTAAGCTTTTTTTAAAAAAACGTTTAGCAAGAAGGGGGTTTCTTGTCCGGATTTTTGAATAACGTGTTTGTTTTGAATTTTCCAGATTGTGTTACATCGCTATTTGCTTCGGTTATCACGTGGGTGAATTTTTGATGGCATACTTGAGTATAAAAATTTTGGGGTACATCTAGGAGTATCAAAAAAGTAGGTGCGACAAGTGATGTCAGCTGTATTTTTTTTATGGCCTAATTCGGCAGTTTCTCCTGAAGTTCCTGCCCCAACTCTAACGTGATCCGAAACCCAAAACCGGTCTGTTCGATTCGAACGAGTTGGCTCGGCTCGGATTCGGTTCAAGTATGCAGAACACCATTGGTAACTTATATTTAGATCATACATATTGACCACATCCCTAGATACTGCTATAGAAATTGTACCCAGGTGTATCAAAAATAATTACTGCACTATGTAATTTTTACCATCACGTGATGATCGACGAAATAAGCCAATAATGAATTTTGATTTAGTGTAACGTTACGCGATCAGAAAAATTCAAATCGCTTATAACTCAAAATCTGCATAGGAAACCACCTCCTGCGCATTAACAAAAGTTTTTCTTGGACGATTTACTGTTATGTCCTTTAATTCTAACACTAAAACAGGCCCTAACCCTAATATAAACAAACTTAAAGATTTGTCGAAAATCACGTGATGGCAAAATTTTCCTGGGAAGATATCTATCCTACACCCTGGTGCTGTTATTTTCCGCTAAGTAAACTTTATTCACCGACATTTTGACTATTGATTATAACACCCATAAAATATAAATATAATAAAAATAAATATAAAAAACATAGCAATAATATAGATAATAAATGTGGCAGCTTATGCTGAAATTTTGCCGTATTTTATTATAAAAGTACAAAAATTTTGGGGGCCTTTTTTGTGATCTTTTTTTTCAAGTTTAGGTTGGGTTTTGGGGTTGTGTTATTAATAAAAGAGTATATGTGGATTTTATCAGATATTATAGATTTAAATAGAGACCCCAAATTCAGCATAAGCCGCCACAATAAATAAAAAGAACATTAATAATTTATACCGGGGGATATTGATATCCAGGTTGCTATATCTCAAAAACTTACTAAGAACAGGGGTCAGATTAGGGATTGGACCCGGGTAGAAATTGTTACTATACGATTACCCGAAATATATAATAATTTACCCGGATAACCCGGGTAATTTAATAATACCCGGGTAGAGATTTTCTCAACGGGTCCAATCTCTAGGTTAGATGTACCAAGTAAAAATGTTCAGAACCCCAAAACCTTATATTCAACCCCTATTTTAGTATATAATTGCACCTTAGCATTAAATTTTAATATAAAAATATTATAAAAATGGGCGGATATTAATAATCACCGGTATAAATATTATTTTTCATAAAAATGCAAGAATTCGAAAAAAACAATTTGAATAAAGAATTAAGTAGTATAAGCATAATATAAATGTAGCAAATTATTACTTGATAAACTAAGATAATGATAATATTTGCTGCAATATATGGTCTAGAACCATATCAAAGGTCTATTTGCGCTAACCTTAATGACATTACTTATCGAGATACTAATGTAAAAATTTTAAGATGGAACTTCAAGGTCTAAAATTTAGATTCTATTGGAATTATAAATTTTTCAATAACACTATTACGGAAAAAAATAAATAAATTGTGATGTATAAATAGCATTCGGATCTCGTTGCGAAGTTTCAGATTGTAAAGAAATAATTTCATCTGGATGTTGTTGCGAAGTTTCGAGTTGTGAAATAATTATTTCATCTGCTTTTATAAATTCATCTTTAATTTTAAGCTCTTCATTATTTAGTTCTTCAATTCCTTTATTGAGAATTATTTTCCATTTTCGTAATTTCTCATAAACTTCTTTAGCCGTTGGTCGTTTTGTTGGATCACTATCCATACATTGGCTTGCAAGTTCAACGTAGTATTCGGGTGTTCCTTTTGCAAATTCTGGTCTCAATCTGTTAAGAATTTTTTGTGTTAATACCGTCCTACACGAAAAAGTTTCAAAGGGTGGTTTTCCAGTTGAAACTTCAGACATAATTACACCCAAACTATAAACATCTGAAGCTTTTGTATATGGACGACCCAATAATATTTCATCAGCAACATATTGTACTACCCCATATGTTCCACCCTCTACAATAATTTCGTTTATTTTACTAGAAAGTCCTAAATCTGAAATCTTTGGTTCTATATTTGACTTTGTCCCAATATTTTGCGTAATCATTACCGTTTTATTATTCACAACATAAGTGTTATATAATAAAGCATTTAAATTAAAGCTTCCAGTACTAACTATAAGTATATTACCACTGTGAAAATCTTTATGAACATATCTTTGATGAATATAATCCAGATTATCCGATATAGAACAAAGGAGTTTTAATTTTTGTTTCCAAGTAAGACTTGTAAAATTTTCAGATAAATATTGTTGAAGATTCCCTTTATCCGCATGTTCGAAAACCATCATGTACTCTTTTCTATTTGTATCATAAGTAATTCCATATATTTCTATCCCATATTTTTCTACGCTAAGTTTTTCAAGTTGACATTCATAGAGAGCTTTAAACTTTAATCAAAAATAAATCGTTATTCATCTTGTTTTTATTAACGATAAACTATATAATTCTTACCTCATTTAAAAAATTCGATGAAATATTTTGTGTTCCGGTTAAACTTTTAAGCGCAACTTTGCAGGATTGCTCACGTGCTTTTATCAATTTTCCTTGCGTTTCATTCCAACTGTAAGCTCGTTTACCATCAATCCAAGTAGCAGAATAAATTGTGCTGAACCCACCTTTACCAATTTTTTGAATATTTTCTAATTTATCGAAAGGTATCCATTCAATAACTTTATGATAATATGGTGTATTCGTTTGTGCATTTTTTATAAACTCATCTATTTTCTTATCTCCGCTAGTCCACTCTTGATTTATATGATCATCACATGAATGACAATAGTCAATTCCAGAATTGTACTGCTTACAATTTGCACATGTTCCAAATCTTAGTGATGTTGTCTCACTAATATTTTGTATATTCGTACGGTAATATTTAATCAATGACTCGTTTAAATCTACAAGCGATTCTTCATATCTGTCCATCTCTTGATAAATTAATCCACGGTTAACTAATGCAAGTGCAAAGTTTGGATTGATTTCTAACGATTTATTTAAATCTGCAAGTGTTTCTTCATATCTTCCTAATTTGGCATAAGTTAATCCTCGAATATTTAATGCTTCTGCAGAATTTGGATTTATTTCTAATAATTTATTTAAATCCGCAAGTGACTCTTCATACCTGCCCATCTTCTTATAAACTAACCCACGATTGGCTAATACTTCTGCAGAATTTGGTTTGATTTCTAATGATTTATTTAAATCCACAAGTGATTCTTCATATCTGTCCATGCTTTGGTAAGTTACTCCCCGATTATTTAATGCTTCTACATAATTTGGATTTATTTCTAATGATTTATTTAAATCTACAAGTGATTCTTCGTATCTACCCATCATGAAATAACACATTCCTCGATTATTTAATGCTTCTGCACAATTTGGATTAATTTCTAATGATTTATTTACGTCTATGAATAATTCTTTATATCTTCCCAGTTTGGAATAAGTCAGTCCTCGATTGTTTAATGCAGCTGCATAGTTTGGATTTATTTCTAATGATTTATTTAAATCTACAAGTGATACTTCGTATCTGCCCATCAAGAAATAACAATGTCCTCGATTATTTAATACTTCTGCAGAATTTGGGTTGATTTCTAATGACTTATTTAAATCCACAAGTGATTCTTCATATTTGCCCATGGTTTGGTAAGTTAGTCCTCGATTGTTTAATGCAGCTGCATAGTTTGGATTTATTTCTAATGATTTATTTAAATCTACAAGTGATTCTTCGTATTTGCCCATCATGAAATAACAATGTCCTCGATCATTTAATGCTTTTGCAGACTCTGGATTTAATTCTAATGATTTATTTAAATCTACAAGTGATTCTTCATATTTTCCAATTTTACAATAGGTTAGTCCTCGATTATTTAATGCCTCTATAGAATTTGGCTTTATTTTCAATGATTTATTTAAATCTAACAGTGATTCTTCGTATCTGCCCACGCTTTGGTAAGTTAGTCCTCGATTATTTAATGCATCTGCAAATTTTGGGCTAATTTCTAATGATTTATTTAAGTCTACTAGTGAGTCTTTATATCTGCCCATGTCATAATAAACAATTCCTCGAATATTTAATGCCTCTGCGGAATTCGGATTGATTCTTAATGAGTTATTTAAATCTGCGAGTGATTCTTCATGCATTTCCATATTTAAATAAATTAATCCTCGAATACTTAATGCATTTGCATAGTTTGGATTTAATTCTAATGATTTGTTTAAATCTACAAGTGATTCTTCATATCTGCCCATGCATAAATAGGTGTATCCTCGATTATTTAATGCTGTTATATAACTTGGATCGATTTCTAATGATTTATTTAAATTTACAAGTGATTCTTCATATTTACCAATGCTTTGATAAACTAGTCCAAGATTATTTAATGCTAATGACAATGCTATTTCATTTAGATCAATTTCCAGCGATTTGTTTAAATTCTCAAGTGATTTTTCATATTTACCCATAAACATATAAACTGACCCTAAAATAAGATATATGTATCCATTTATCGTTAATAATATTTTTTTTATCAACCCATATTTTAAAATAAAACCCGTAATTATTAATATACAATTGCAAACAATGACAATAATTCTTTTAATCATAAATGCTACTCTTTATTCCAATAACAAAAATCGAAATTTGAAGTCCACAGAGGCATTTTTATACAATATCCAAATGGCTGACATAACACTTTCTAAAATTAGTTTGGCGCTTACGCTTTTACCATTACGGTAAATACTTATTTGTACGAGTGATACAAATCAAAAAAGAAAATTCAAATAAACTAAGTTCGTGATATTAAAAGGTTAGAACGTAAGTTAGATGCAATAGAAACAAATGTTCACTTCCAACATGTAAATTTCATTCTCGTCATTTTTAGTTAGTGCTCCAAGACAGATTAAGCACTCGTTTTCTTGCACTTTTGCTTTTTCATTTCTCATTTTTTTTTTTGTTTTTCTTCGCCTTGTTCATGTGGATTTTGTATCACTCGCACAAACAAGTGAACGCCTAATTGATTGACAGCATTTTTACCAATTTGGAGCACTAATCGGATTGGATATAATTGTTACGTATACATACAATTTTGTTAGGTTATTACTACATAGGGATTGGAACGGCCTAAAATTTTTCTTAATCGTTTAATCGTTTAATCGTTTAACCGTTTAACTTGGCCGGCATTAAGATAATTCCGGC